AAGAGGTGATGAGATATATTATTATAAGCTATCATTTTGACTTTTTTTTGCTTTTGAAAACCAGAATATTGGGTGAATAGTGCTACTTATACCATTCATATTTGTCCCCTTGTGCCTAGATGCAGAACATAATTAAAATTTACAGAGGTTAATAATTTTAATAATCTAAGCCCTAGAAATTCTTCATGGTATTTCCATTTATTGTGTTGAGTTTTTTGTTGTTGTTGTTTGTTTGGTTTTGTTTGTTTGTTGGTGCCAGGAATTGAACCCAGAGGTGCTCTACCACTGAGCCATATCCCCAGCCCTTTTTATTTTTATTTTAAGAAAGGGTCGTATTACTCACTAAGTTACTTAGGGCTTTGCTAAATTTCTGAGCATGGTCTTGAACTTGTGATCATCCTGCCTCAACCTCCCACGTCTCTGGATTACAAGTGTTCACCACTGCACCTGACTTGTATTGACTTTTAAAAAGAATTTTTTGTTGTTGTTGTTTATTTATTTTTATGTTTTTTATCTTATTGTACTGAAAGTTGAGCCTAGGGGTGCTTTCTCACTGAGCTACATCCCCATACCTTTTTATTTTTTTTTAAATTTCAAGGCAGGGTCTTCTAAATTGCTGAGGTTGGCCTCAAATTCCTGATCCTCCTGCCTCAGTTTCCTGAGTCATTGGATGTACCATCAGACCTGACTAAGAATTGCTCTTTAACAATTGGAGAAGTGTCCCTCATAGAACTGTTTTGGATAGGAATATAATATTCAATCATGTGGTTTGGGAACTGAACAGTTTCAATACTTGTGGTATTGTGTTTGCTCTCTGTATTTGCACAATAGCTGGATATAGGTTACCAGGAGTAATGAATGCCAGCAGGTGGTCAGAGACTGCGAAACACCTGAATTCTTAAAATCGCGAAGTCCTTCTCTTCTCATTTTCTCTCCTCTTTATGATTTGCTAATTTTTTAGACTATACGTCTATTCATTTCCCCAATTTCATCTTGCTTCCTTTCTCTCTTTTTTTCCTGTTCTAGATTGAATTTGGTTCCTCTTTCTTCCAGAAATAAAGATAAGCTTGGAGTTCTAACTCTCAGAACCCCAAAATGAAACCTTCTTTGGAGATAAGGTTTTTGCAGAGCTAATCAAGTTAAAATCAGGTCTCTGTGGGGTGCTTTTATCTGATGTGGCTGAAGCCCTTATGAAAAGAGAAAAGTTGGACACAGGAAACCCAACATAAACCCACAGGGAGAAACCATCCATAGGCCAAGGGATACCAGAGGCTATCAGAAGCCAGGAAGAGGCAAAGAGGATTCCCTGCAAGTTTCAGAGGGAGCATGGCCTTGCTGACACCACCTTAATTTGGGGTCTTTAGCCCCTAGACTATGAGACCATGAATTTCTATTGCTAAAGCCCCCAGTTTGTGGTACTTTCTTATATCAGGACAGGGAAATTGATAAATGCCTAGCCCTTCCTCCAGCTTTTTCCAATTTCTCTTTCCATGCCTTTCTTCTCTACTTCTTGTCTCTGAACTTTCTTGCTCCTTGGTGACTTGTTTTCTGTCCTCTGTTCTGGGTTTAATTGACTGGTCAATCATGTGGTAGGTGGGCTCATTGAAATGAACCAGACCCAAGGAACGTCCAAGAGAGGGGAATTGCCTGTTTGGACAATCATTGTCTCTGTCATAGTATTTGTTTTTGGATCACTTGCTCTTCAAACACTACCAAAGCCAGTGTGTTCATTCTATCTCTCAAATTTTAATTCCAGGTAGAGAGGAGTGTATATCCAAAATCATACCTGAACAAGTACCTTCTAAAGAGAAGTTTCTGTGCATTCGAACATTGTTCGCCTCAAATCAAACTGAATTATGGTCATATGGTCACTTATTGGCCATTGTCTGTGATAATCAAGAACATCCCCTGTGTTTGTTTCACCATCTGTCCAGAAAATAGGCATTTTTTTTGTGATCATGGGAATTGATTTTTATCTTAGCAGCCATAACTGGGTGTAAGATTAATTTGATGTAGCAACCTGTCAATAAGATAGATGAAGCAAACTCACAGCCACATACCAAGCAGTCCAGAAACCAGTATTTTCCAAGAAGTGCTGTGTCCTTTCTTATCAATATGAAATCCCAGAAAGCTGAGTTTCCAGCCAGGATTAGCCTGCACTGCTCCAGTGACCCAGTTTACTCCAGATGATTAACTTAGGCTTTTTTTCTTTGGGGAATAAGAAAAAGAGGCATCAGTAAGCTATTTTCTCTGAAAATTATGTGTAGTATCTTGACATTTTGCAACTTGTTCATTCTTCATTGTGAAGGTCATTTATGCCTCAATTCCCAAAGGTTTTATCGGAACATCAACCGTTTCAGGTCAGGTTCCTCCTGCACACCAACAGGAGTAGCATGCAGACACTTCCTAATTGCCATCGAGGACCACCACAGGCCTCATCAACTGCTGTGCATTTGATGATGTCATTATTGTACTTTTTTTTTTTTTTAGGAAACTATTGATAATGAAACCTGGCAGTTAAAGGTCCATATCCTTACTGCTGGTATATACGCTATTTTAAAATGCATCTTGAGTTATGTTTGAGAATTTTACACACCAAGTCTGCTTCATGGTACTTGATTGTAAGTGAGGGATTTGTTACTTACTTCCCATTTAATACCTCTTATATTAAAAAAGGGCATAAGAAACTGACAGACCTAGGTTCTGGGTCATAGCCCTCACTCATTACTTAGGCTCTCTGAGCCCCAATTCCTCTCTCAGGGAATGCTATACAGAATCTCCACTTCCTTTTGGAGTGGGTTGATCAAGGTAATAGAAAGACCTGTATTTCAAGGCATCCATGGGTCCTTTGTCCTGCTATAGACATAATGGCTGTTTTGTTTAGATAAGTTTATGTGGGACTTTTTGTTGTGTTTTTTTATAATGGCCCTAAAAGTGTTATCCCAGACCATTGGCATCAATCCACTTGGGAACTTGTAAGAATAGCAGATTGACAACCACAACTGTAGACTCAAAACTAGGAAACTGTCATAACAAGGCCCCCAGGCGAAAGGTGCATACTCAAGTTTGAGGACCCTCCGCTCTAGCTAAAGGAAGGCCTGGAATTGAATTCAGATGTAGAGTCTTGAGGGAACTGAATGGCTTCCGAATAGACTGAGAGGAATCTGAAATTCTTGTACAGTCTGGTAAGGGGTTACACAAAGACTGGAGCCAGCAGGTTGGTGAAAGGCAATGAAAGAGTCCAGCCCTGTGTGGCTGAAAGGACTTTAAGAGCAGGGCTGTTACTAATTATGCTATTTGATTCATTTGCTGTATAATGTGATGTTTTTACTCTTCTACCTCATACATAAAAAAATTTCAGCAAAATTTCTTCTGCATGCAATAGGCTTACATTGGGGGTGCCCTCCTTTTGGAAGAGAGGAATGGGAGTTTGGATATATACCAAGGTGAGATAAGAACTTAGTAGATAAAGAATAGAGCAAAACGTATTAATGTCGGCAGGAAATCAGAGTCAGATTATTATACACTAGGGCAGGGTTCTCAGCAATACTGGCAGTTTGAGTCGGCTAGTTTTTTGTATGGCTGTCATATTAATTATACAATGTTCAGCAATATTCTGAACTTTAACCACTAAATGCCATTAATGGCCCTACCCTGAGTTGTGACCACAAAAATATCTTTGGCCATTGCCAAGTGGGAGGAATATCACCCCATCTGAAAACCATTCATCTGGAGTCTTCTGGGGGCATTGAATTTTCTTACAAACATGTAAGAGTGAAATCATTGGGATGTGATTGAACCATTCTTATCTGAATCATAAGTGACCAGTTATCTTAGCTAACATCTGGGTGGACATTAAAATATCAGGCAACAGCTCTCTTACAGAATAATGTAAGACTTAATGAGACATTTATAAAGGGCCTGATATAATGTAGTATCACTTTCTTTTCCATTTCTGTTATATTTTTGGTAAATCCTGACCCAAGGTATCCATAGAAATGTGTTTTGTGTACAATGTCAGAAAACAGCAAAGCATTTGATTTTACCCTGATATCTGTAAGCTAGCAAGTTAACCTACTTCAATTTATTGGATGCTAAAAGAATGAATGAAACATCTGGATTAGAGACAAAGAACTACTTATAATGAAAGCAGTAAACAGAAAAGCAGCATCTTCTTGAGCTGATTTTTCCAATCCCATTTCCCACAGGATGACACAAAGATGGCAAGAGGATACATTAACATGAAATGGACTACCTGACAAGAGAGGACATGTAAGCTTAAGGAAACTGAATCTAAACTGTAAGCATGTCTGCCCTTGAAGGAAGACACTATCTCTACCATCCCAAGGATGTTTATTACACAAACAGACGTCCTTTAAAAGATAGGCTTGAATAACAGCTACTCGAAAGATGTGAAGAAACAGAAGACAGTTTCCCACAGTACTACATTGTAAGCTTAGGAACTAGAGCCATGTTTATTCATCTTTGTAAACCTAATGTCTGGTATCTAGCAGGTCATTAATAAGCACCTTTTGTGTAAATAATAAAAATATATAATATGAAGTATGGGGGTCATTTTTTTTGAGTTATGCTTAACCCAATTGGATACTCTCTATCCAGTGAACGAACAGTGCTATTAATTTCTGATTGCTGCTGTTATAAATCGCCACAAATATAGTGGATTAAAACTACACCAGTTTGTTTTAGATTTCTGGAGGCCAGAAGTCTAATATGGGCCTAACTGGGTTAAATTTAAGATTATAGCTGGGTTGCATTTCCTTTGTACCAGGAGAAAATAATTTCTTGCCTTTTCCAGCTTCTAGAGACCTTATGTTCCTTGGTTTATGATCCCTTTGTTCACCTCTAAAGCCAGTAGCATAGCATCTTCAAACTCTGACCTTCCTGCCTTCCATTTTCTCTTATAAGGACCCTTATAACTACATTGAGGACACCCAAGTAATTTAAAATATTCTTCCCATTTCAAGATTCTTCATTAGAGCTGCAAAGTTCATTTTACCACATAAGGGAACATATTCATAGTTTCAGGACACTCATATATGGAAATCTTTGAGGGACCACTGCTCTGCCTGCCACAATGTTCTATCCTCTTGTAGACAGTCAGATTTTATTCCCTCAATGAGACCTCCCTAAAGTATAAAGCATAGTCACTCTGGTTAGGGAATGAGTAATGAATGCTTTCCTTTACACTATTTTTTCTCTTATAATTTATGTTTGGAATGCATGCAAAAATGTTTTCATAAATCCTCTGTTTAATACCCAAAGTATGCTACAAAAAAAGCACTTTCCAAAAAGAGTAGATAGCATACAACATCTACATATGATATTTCAACATTACATACAGAGAACATAATGTATATTTTCTATTCTTCTATAAATTTCTTTCCTAGGAGATAATTTTTGCCAACACCATTTAGCTTCTTTCAAGTCTTGTTAAGAGTAGTTGAACATGCTTTAATGAGTATCTTTTATCTGACAGGAAAATAAAAATCCCTGAGCTAATATGTGCTAGGATCTCTACTAAGCACCTAACCTGACACCTCAATTATGTCTCAAAGCAAATAAGATGGGTACTAGCATGACCCCAGTGTATAAGTATGCCTGATGTTGCTAAAGGCCCAGGACCTTGTGCAATTTAATGTACAAATCACATGCAGACTTTCTGACTCTGCAACCCTAAAACTTAACAGTTGAGCTAAAATTCTTTCTTTAGTCTGAGCTCTTTTGAGTTTGTGAGATATGACATACTTACAAAACATGCATGAAACAGATGATTATAAAGCAAGCACCCATGGTAACCATCACCTAGAACAATGGTTGGCAAATATGGTCCATGGACTGAATGCAGCCTGACACCATTTTTTGTAAATAAATTTTTATTGGAACATACCTATGCCAATTTCTTCATGTACTGTCTATGCCTACTTTCAGGCTATAATGGAATAGTTGCATAGTTGTGACAGAAAATGTATGGCCCTTAAAGCCTAAAATAATTACTATCTGACCCTTTGCAGAAAGTTTGTTGATTGAGATTGTTAATCTCTGTCAGCTTGGCTGTGCCACATGGTACTTAGATTAAATATTATTTCTAGGTGTGTCTGTTGGTGTATTTCCACATGAGATTAGCATTTGAATCAGTTTGACTCAGTAAATTGCCCTTCCCAATGTAGATGGGCATAATCAAATCCATTGAAGGCCTGAGTAGAAAAGTAGAGGAAAAATGCATTTTCCCTTTTATTCTTCCAGCTTGCCTGCCTGCCTGCCTGAGATGGTAAACCAGTCTTCTCATGCCTTTGGACAAGGATTTACATCATTGGCTTCCTTAGTTCTCAGACCTTCTCACTAGGACTCGGATTACACTCATCAGCTTTCCTGGATCTCCAGTTTGTGCAAGGTAAATGGTGTGATTTAACAGCCACCTGATGTGTCAGTTCTTCATACCCAGTCATTCTGTCTGTCTGTCTCTCTCTCTCTCTCTCTGACTTACATCAGGAAAAAGAACTTTGCCAGCCCCCATGGAAGACTCCTATATGCCTTTCCTGTCCATAACCATCCCTCATCCCCCATCAGTTACCACTATCCCCCCCCCCCGCCTATGGTATCAGAATTTCTTAAAAATTGCTGTAAAACCTAAATATTGCTAAAGGGTAGAGTTGTCTATTTTGGAACTCTATCCAAAAAAGTCTCATACCAGATGTACTGTCATAACATATGTTGGGTACATATGTAGGAATGAACTTGCTGGATCATAGGATACAGTTGTTACTTTTGCAGATACTTACAGAGTGATTTTTCCAAGGGTTTTCATAAATTTACACTCCAACTTGTTGGTCCATATTCTTACCAACACTGACACTATCAAATATCTAAGGTTTTATTTGCCTGTTTGTTAAGCGTATCTGCAGGTATAGTTATCACCATACAGTTTAATTTGCATTTTTACAATAACCATAGACCTTGAGATTTTTTCATGTTTATTGCCCACTAGAATTTCCTTATTTTCTGAAATCCTTTTCAAGTTTTCTGCCTTTGTTCCTTTCAGGTTCTTTGATTTTCTTATTGATTTCTAGTTTTTTTATGTTCTGTACACTAGTCCTTCTTAAGTTATATGTGATACACAAACAGCCACGCTGGGCTTTCCTTGTTATTGTCTTCTAATGAAAAGAAGTTCTTGATTTTAGGCGGTGTGTGTGGGGGGGTGGTGTTGGGGATGGAACCCAGATGCACTTGAACACTGAGCCAAATGCCCAGTCTTATTTTGTATTTTATTTAGAGACAAAAGTTTCACTGAGTAGCTTAGTGCCTTGCTTTTTTTGAGGCTGGCTTTGAACTCCTAATCCTCCTGCCTCAGCCTCCTGAGATGCTGGAATTAAAAGGCATGCATCACCGTGCCCCACTTGATTATCATTTTTTAAATATGTTTTTTAATTATAGATCACAATACCTTTATTTTTTATTTATTTAAATTTTATGGTGCCAGGGATGGAACCCAGTGCCTCACTCATGCTAGGTAAGTGCTCTACCACTGAGCCACAACCCTGGCCCTTGATTTTTTTTAATGTGTCAAATTTATCACACTGTTCTTTTATGTTTAGTGCTTTCTAGCATCTTCCATTCTGCCTCAGCCTGAACATACTCTCCTGTGTTAACTTCTTAAAGCTTTGTAGACTTTCTTTTCACAGATTTTAATGAAACTAGGATTCATTTTTTCGCATGATATAACATAGAAATCCAATAATATTTTTTCTAGGTTGCCACCCATTTATCCTAACACCACTTATTGAAGATGATTTCTATCTTACTTTTTCTCGGGGCTTCTCTTTCATGTACGTAGACACCATTATGCATGGATGTGTTTTCTAGGTTATCTGCTCTGTCTCGGCGTGTTTGTATATTTCCTTACACATATACTGTCTAAATTCTTCTAAAATATGTTGCAAAAAACAGTAGAATAGTATTTCCTACTCTGGTTTTCTTCGGGGGTGTATATAACTATTTTGGTCCGTATGTATAAAATTTTTGGAATTAACCTGTTAAATTCCATTAGTTCTATTGAATTTATAAATTAGTTTGGGGAAGTTTGACAATTTTCACAATATTGAAACTTTCAGTCCACAATCACAGAATCTGTATATTTATTAAGTCTTTAAGTTTTCTTAGTAAAGATTAATCTTTTTGTCTCTATGGGTCTTACATGTATTTTGTTAGATTTATTCCTATGAGTTTCATATTTTTTAAAAAAATATCATCTAGACATTATTATTGCTAAATGTATATAGGTGACTGTATGACCAATGTAATTTTGCAACATGTACAATCAGAAAAATGAAGAATTATACCCCATTTGATTCAAATGTATAAATTGTCAAGATCATTGTACTGTCATGTGTAACTAATAAAAAAAATAAAATATCATCTACAAATAGTGGAAGTTTTATTGTCAATTGTTAATTAAAAAAATATTTCCTGGCATATTTCACTGACTAAAGCCTCTAGTACATGGTGAAATAACAGATATTTTAATAATAGTTGTTTTCTTGCTTCTGATTTCAAAGGGAAAACATAAAGTATTTCATCATTAAGCATGATATCTATTGAGTGGTGTTTTGTACATACTATTTTTCTGAATTAGTTATTTCCCTCTTTACTAATGGTTTACTAAGGGATTTTTTAACATAAAAATACTGCATTTTATCATTAGCTTTTTTTATCCTTTGACATCATTATTTAATTTTTCATTAACATATTAATGTGGCTAATTACATTAATTGGTATTCCAAATCAATCTTTGAACTAACCTTGCATTCTTGGAATAAAACCAGTTTGGTCTCAATGTGTTTCTCTTTGTATATATCACTACATTTGCTAACATTTTGTTTAGGATTTTTTTACCTTCATTAAAATGAGAGATTGGTTTATCGTTTACCCTTCTTATTACTGACCTTGTAAACTTTTAGTTAAAGAGTGGTGTTGGCTCATAAAATGTGACTACTATGTGGCATAGACATTATGTGTATGCTACACCCTTTCTACATCCTCTATATTCCTAAGACTATGCTTCCCAGTCTCCCTTACAGTTATGCTGGCCAATGGAAACATTAGTACAAAGAATGCTCACCACCTGCCATTTAAGACTGGTGGCACCTTCTCCATATTTTCTCGTATAGACAACTTGCATTGCAGATGGAATAATTATATGATGGAGGACAGCTAAAGCATGGCAAAAATTACCCTTACTAGAATCTTTTTTAAATCTGTGTTTTTACAAAAGAACTTATAAAATTAAATTTTGTTTTCCCTTAAGTTAGTGATAGAAACTACCAGTGGTTTTCTTTAGAAGATTCAGGAACTCTGATTCCATTTCATTAATGGTTATAACAACTGCTCAGGTTTTTATTTCTCCTTAAATTAGAACAGTATTTTTAAATAATTTAATTACGGTATCAATTTTTTAATTCACATATAGTATTTAAAGTATCCAATTAGTTCATTTTTAAATGTTTGTAAGGTTTCTGGAATATCCATCTTTTCATTTCTGACATTCATTTTTTTTGTGTGTGTGCCCAGTGTTTTTACTCAGTCTTGCCTGAAATTTCTCAATTTTAAATTATCTTTTTAGCAAATCAACTTTTGCCTTTGTGGCCTCAATTTATTTTGAGTCTGTCTTCTGTTAAATTGATTTCTGTTCTTATCTTTTATCTTTTTTTTCCTTTTCCTTTCTTTGAGTTTATTTGGTTTCTATTATGATTGCCATTGATAAATGCTTACCTCATTAATTTTCAGCTTTTATTTATTTCTTTCTAATATAACTATTTACAGATATAAATTCCCAAATACTGTTATGTCTGCCCACTAATAGTCATTTTAATAATAGTCATTTTCTTTGTTCAAAATGTTTTCTAAATTTTGTTTATGATTTGTTCTCTGACCTATAGATTATTTAAAAGTAGCTTTTTAATTTCTGAATTAATAAGGATTTTCTAATTATCTTTTTGCTAATTATTTCTAGATTAATTACAATGTGCCAAAGAACAGGATATATATCATTTCTTACTAAAACTTGTTGAGTCTTTGTTGTCTGGGATATGGTCAATTTTTGAAAAATGTCCCTGCGTACTCCAAAAGAATGTATATTTTCTATTTATTGATTATACTATTCCATATAAATTCAGTAAGTCAAATTGGCTAATCATTTTGTTTAAATATTCTGTAATATCAGTAACATTTTTGGTCTGCCTATTCTATCAATTTTCAAGAGCAATGTATTCAAAGTTTCCTACAGATAATTAATTTGATAATTCATCATGTGATTTGTCAATATTTTCTATATAGCTTGAATATAAATTATGTAAACACATGTTTATTTCAGTGTAAAATACAGGAAATGACAAATGTTTGTGGTGATCCATATGCTAATTACTCTTATTTAACCATTATACATCCTATCCAAATATCAGAACATCCCACTGTACCACGTAAATAAGTGAAATTATTATGTGTCAATTAAATATAAAATAGGAAATGAAAATGTAAAGTAACTTTCTGGTTATTTGAACCATGTATGTGTATGAAGGACTCTGTGCATCCATAACAATATAATTTGTCATAAAATTTGTTGAATATTGAACCAGCTAACCCAATTATACTTTAGTTAGAAATCTTTGTGGGGCCGTTTCCTTCCCTTGCTGCCTCTCCTCATTCACAGCACTTTCTTGCCTTTGTGTTTGGATTTTTTTTCTGTGTAACGCTCATTTCTCTTAAATTATTTTCTTGTGGGGATTTTTTAAGGCTTAGAGTAAAAAAAAAAGTGCCTTTGTTCACACTTTGTTCACAGAAGAGTTGTACTTGCTCCTGTTTGAAAGCAGTATCAGTCATCAGTCACGTTAAAACAAGTCCGTGGGCTGAGGATGTAGGTCAGTGGTGGGAATTCATGCTTGGCATGCATAAGGCCATGGGTTCTATCCCCAGCACACACACACACCGGAGAAAGATAAAACGAGTTTTGAAGTTCCATGGGTCAAACTGGCTTTTTAAACCCAAGTAACAGATCTGACCATTCACTTGGCTATGGTCCACAACTTCTTAAGGATACACTTTCCATTTTGCACCTGCTCTGTCTAGCACCAAGACATTCTGCTCTGCAATCATTTGGTAAAGGGTGGTGGTGGTGGTATCCATAAGAGTTTGCTTCAGGCTCAGGTCTACCTTGAGTTTCCCTCTGAGATCCAAAAGAGATGTGGGGTCACCTTAATTTCTATCCTCCTTGATTTGAGGGGGATTTTTTTTTAATTGCCTGAATTGTCAATGCCTGAAAGATAAAAGTGGCTTTAATGTTCAGGCTATTTTTTTTTTCCAAATTTCACTTTTCCTTAGATTCAAGTTCCTTTTATTATGTGAGCTGTTTAATATTATAAAGAATTTTTAAAATTTTAAGTAAGTATCTAAAGTTCTGGTTCAAATAACTTAATTTCCTATTATCAGAACCAAATGTGTGTGTGTGCATGTTTGTTTTAGGAATGTTTCATACAACATTGTTGAGTCTTTGAAATGACAGATTCTAAAATGTCCAGAGGATATTATTTTGGTACTCGCTTGTCAGGCTTGAAATCCAAAAGGACACATTCTGCATCTCCAAATGCTGTGTGTATCTCATGGTTTGTCCTTTTGTTTTGGTAGAGCTCAGCAACATCTACAAAATCTTCAAGTGAAAATAATTATCAGGTAGGTTTGACCTCTCTCAAAGGAATTTGGCTTGATTATATGAAGCCTGGGTCTTAAAATCTCAGATGAATTGACTTTTACATATTTACACAACTGGTAACTTTATAAAACACTTCATTTTAGTTCACTTTTTTACTGCTGTGGCTATAAAGATCTGACCAGAACAATTTTAAAGGAGGAAAAGTTTATTTGAGAGGCTCATGGTTTCAGAATTCTTAGTCCATAGAAGGCAGGCTCCACTCCTCGGGCCTTGGGGTAAAGCAGAGGAGTGTGACAGAGGGAAGCAGCTCACATGGTGATCAGCAAGCAGAGACTCCACTGGCTAGATACAAATATATATCCCTAAACCATTCCACAATTCCCACTTCCTCCTGCTACACCTACCACTTCAGTTACCACTCAGTTAATCCCTATCAGGGGACTAATTCACTGCTTAGGTTAAGACTCTCACAACCCAACACTTCTCCTCTGCACCTTCTTGCATTGTCTTACACATGAGCTTTTGGGTGACATCACATTAAATCATAACACACTTTTTAATCATTATCTTCTAATTTGATTCAGCATCTTTGTCAGCTAAGCAAAGCAGAAACAGTTAGGGCCCTTTTTCAGAGGAAGCAATTGGGACCGATGAGCCAGGACTTTGCTTTCATGTCCTGGTCTTAAACACAATGGCCAGTAAGTAACTCTAATGTAAAATAATCTCAAAATTAGAATTTTGAAAGGTGTGCTGAAATATTCCAACACTTTGAAATGGACTATGAGGATGATGCTTTTTAACAACCGTCAACAGCCTATCATCTCACAAATTATATAATGCCCATCCTGAAAATAAAAATAGTCATTACTCTTACCACTTTACCATTGTTAGTTCTGATGATGATTATGATTTTAAGAATTATGACTTTGTTCCCCTCATCCTTATACCTTCCTATCTGCCTCTTCTGTATGCCTCCGTTTATCTCACAGTCTTGCTTATCTTCTTTCTGGTCTATGAAAAACTTTCTATTTGATTGGATGAAACTGAGCAGGGAAGTTTAGGATAAGGAAAATGGCAAAGTGAAATTCATTTGACTTGAGTTGTGTTTTCCAGTCTTCAGTATTTGAGCAAATAATAGAATTCAGCTGAAACCTGTGTAAACCCTGGTATAACCCAAATATCCCCAGGCATCCATATATTTGTGAATAAATGACAACATAGTTATAGTCAAATCTGAAAGTTACTTTGATATCCATATACTGAATTTCCAGTCCCATGAAAACAGCCTGCCAATAATATGAAAAAGCTTATCCGGGAGTATCCTACGTACGTCGCTTGGTGTTGCTCTCTGTCCCTCTGCTCCTACAATGCTGCCTTCCCTGTCTGCCTCCCTGAGGCACACATCCCTATAGATCTCCCTGGTGTCACAAACTTAGTCATCATGTCACCTGAGTGATTCAACAATGACTCACGAAATAACAGTAAGAAATGATTTCCTTCCTTCTGTATTATACTGAGTTATGGGAGCTCCACAGTAGGCTGTTCCAGACATGCTATTGAGCTTAACCATAGTCATGTGAGCTGACGTGCAAAGGCATGCTTGTCCCCAGGGTGACAAGCACAGAG